TGCAGCCATTGTTGTTTGGCGGGCCCGGGCTAGGGATTTGAACCCGCCACCTTAGGTGTATGTGGCTGGCGCCTTAGCCGCTTGAGCCACAGGCACTGAGCCTCTAATGTCAATTTCTCTTTTACCTGCTATGGTTTCCTTAGTACACCCACCCCAGCCAGCTCTATTGTGCAAGCCGGTGGCTCCAGTGCCTTGTCTTCCACCCAACAGAGGAAGCTTTCTGAGGCACATTGGACCTTGTCAGCTCCCACCTCCAGATTCTTAACACAGCCTCACCAACCCGTCACCTCATCTCACACCCTTCCCAGGTGTCACCTCATGACACAAGCTATTCCCTCTCCTTGGATCCTTCTCCAGTGCTACTTCTGTTTAATTTCTACTTAGAGGCCACTTTCAGCCACTTATTCAAGTGTTTACTGACCACTTTCTATACACAGGTGGGTGCTTATGCATAGGGCCAGCTCTTAACCCATGGGGCTCACACCTGGGAAGTGAGACGGGACAGAGAGCAGAGGGTGTGTGAGCACACTGTAGGAGGACCTGGCCTGGGGGCCAGGGTGACACGTGGGTGTCAGGGGAGGTTTTCCTGAGGAAGTGATATTTGAGTCCCAGAAGAGAGGGAAATAAGAAAGGTGCTAAAGAGTGTCCCTGGCAAAGAGGACAGTGTCAGTCAAGGCCCTGTGTCAGAGGGAATGGAGCTCATTAGCAAAAGGGAGAGACTTGTGAGCTGGAGCACAAATGAGGGCTGGTCATGGGTGATGAGACTTGAGCACAGGACCTCTACACAAGACTGGGCCAGGTCCCCTCTGCTATGTCCTCCTACCCAAACTTCCTTCCACCTGTCACAACACTCCCATCCCCCCATCTTGCTGTCCCTGTGCCCTACCCTGAGCATAGGGCACGGCAGAAATGGAGCCAGTGGCACAGACTATCTCCAAGGAACTGCTGTGTGGCACTAAGTCCCACTGCAGTAGCCTCCAGAGAGTGAAGTCAGATCCCTGCCTCCTTAGGGTCTGTCAGGCTCTGGAGCCCCTGCAAGAAGGAAGCTGCCCCTGGTGCACTGCCCTTCCCTACTGTACTCACTACATATGCCCCAGGCCTTTCCTTTTATACAATCTCATTTCTCCATATGTGAACTCCATGAATTGAGAACAGGCTATTTGCAGCAAGTATACAGCCCCAAGGTGGTCATATGACAATAGTTCCAGCCAATGAGATAAAGATGGAAGCATGGGGGCAGCAGGGCCTGCCACTCAAGACTTACTCCATGAGCCAGCAGGCCCTGTGATCCTCATCTCCTCATCTGTGGCAGAGGCTGATCCACAGGCCTGGTGTGGGGGTGGGATGAGAGAGCAGGTAGAATACAAGCAGAACAGTTGGCCAACAGTAGGGCCTTAATGATGCTCATTCTCCTTTTCATGCCTAATGATGGACTCCCCACTTTCTGTTGGGCACATGGTTCCCCAAAATAAAGACCATATTTCCCAGTTTCCCTTGCAGCTCAGTGTGGTCATATGACTGGGTTCTGATCGATGGGATAGAAGTAGATGACCGATGACCAGGTGGCAGCATCCTCTAAAGATGGATGCCACAGGGTTCTGAACCCTTTTTCTCTTCACTCTCCTGCTGGCTGGAATGTGGACAGTTTGCCTGAGGCCCAGGAGTCATCTTGGACTATGAATGGTAAAAAGGAGGAGACAACAGCCAAGCCACAAGATACAGGAGTCTCAGTTCACCATCCCAGTCCCAGACTGTCTATCCCTGGGCTTTTTAAGGTAAGAAATAAGCAGCCATTATTTTGAGTTTTTCACCCACTTGAGGTCAAGTTAATCCTCAGTGACATATAACTATCACAGAGCTCTCTGGCCACATCTGGAAGCCCTGTCTCTACATCCAGAAATAAGGCAGAAGGGGGAGGAATGGGAGGGCAGGGAGAGCCCAAGGTGGGAGTCAGGAGAGCCTGGGGCTGCTCCTGGCTCAGCACCCATACTCTATGCAGCCCCAGGCAGTTTCTGCCCCTCTCTGAGCCTCAACTTCCATGTATGTACAATAGGAACCCAGCTCAGCTAATAAACCTGACGATTCTGCCCCTTTCCCCCCCAGGGTAAAGAACAATAGTCAGCTCTGCCCTCAGTCTGTGATACTCTCTGAATCCCCTCCCCCAAAGTGAGCGCCTCGGGGCAGGGCCGACATCTGTTTTGTCCTTGTGTTCCTAGTATGGGACCCACCACCTGGTATGGTAATAATGAGTGGGTAGAGACAGACAGATCATTACTTCAGTTCTTTTTTTTTTTTTTTTTCAG